AGAGCAGAAACAGCGCGCTGGAGATAATGCAGTCGCTCCTCGTGGACGAACCTTGGTAAGCGAAACCCATGTCACCATGCGAATGCGCAAGAGCTAGCTTCCGGAGCATATCCACTTCTGCTTCCAGGGGCATCTAACATAGAAGTCGCCGGGCGCGGATCGCACCCACCCACCCCTCGCCGCCCCATTGTTTTTGCAGGGGGTCTGAACGCGTTGTTCGGCTTCGAGCACGAGGGCCCCTCGCCAAGGATGCGGTCCATGCCCGCGGGATTACAGAGGCCGCGCGAGATGCTGCGGGCGGGGGGTCCAGACAAAGCTCGGACCTGGGTTGAAGAGCTGGCGGTGCCACCCACCCTCCAGAAACCTGGCAGAGAACCCGAAGTGCGACTTGTGTCTTCAGCTGCCGAGGAGAACTCGGATTGCCTAGAGCAGCGGAGGACCACGAGAAGACAGCGCCAGTTTTCATGCATGCTCCGCGTGCGGATCATGCATTACACATAAAGGGAATTATTTTTTAAAACAACGATGAGTTCATGCGTACACTTATTCCTCAATTAAGCATGTATAAAACATCCCATGTTTCTGCTGAACAAAATCCTATGTGTTAAAACCTGCCCTGGATGCTGAATGTCATCGGGCTGGCCGGGGAGCCGCTCCGCCGGGAGGCGCCCGCGGAGAGGCCAAGTCAGCTTCCCGCCCGGGCAGCTCCGAGGCACGAGGGCCCCCACGTCGCGACCATCCCGCCCGAGACGGCACGCGCGGCTCACGGGAGAACAGCCCCATCGAGCAGCGGCGCCCCCCCCCCCCGCGGCAGCCTCGTCGGACAGCCTGGCCGCGGCGGCGGCGCTGGCGGAGAGGAGGAGGAGGAGGAGGAGGAGGAGGAGGAGGAGGAGGAGGAGGAGGAGGAGGAGGAGGAGGAGGAGGAGGAGGAGGAGGAGGAGGAGGAGGGAGGAGGGAGGAGAGAGGAGGGAGGAGGGAGGGAGGGAGAGGGAGGAGGGAGGAGGAGGAGGGGAGGAGGAGGAGGAGGAGGAGGAGGAGGAGGAGAGGAGGAGAGGGAGGAGGAGGAGGAGGAGGAGAGGAGGAGGAGGAGGACGAGGAGGAGGAGGAGGAGGAGGAGGAGGAGGAGGAGGAGGAGGTCACGGCGCCCACGTCGAGGGCACAACGGGGGGGGTCTGACATGGGAGGCGGGCGCGCTCGCCGAGGCCGCTCCTCGCCGCCCGCCCCCCCCCTCCTCGTGCCGTGGGTCGGGCGTCCGAGCGTCCTGGGCTGCACTGGTTCATGTCTGGAGCCGGGCCCTGCCCTCGGGCCGCTCGCATACACATATATATACACACAAATATATGTATATATATATATATGCGCACATACATACATACATACATACATACATACATACATACATACATACATACATACATACATTCATACATACATGCATGCATGCATGCATACATACATACATACATACATACATACATACATATACACACATACACACATACACACATACAAACATACATACATACATACATACATGCATGCATGCATACATACATACATGCATACATACATACATACATACATACATACATACATACATACATACATACACATATATATACATACATACATACATACATACATACATACATACATACATACATACATACATACATACATACATACATACATACATACATACATACATACATACATACGTACATACATACATACATACATACATACATACATACATACATACGTACATACATACATACATACATACATACATACATACATACATACATACATACATACATACATACATACATACATACATACTTACAAACAAACAAGCAAACACACATACATATAGTTGTGGTTATGTATGTATGTGTGTGTGAGTGTATGTGTGTATATACCTATATATATGTATGTATGTATGTATGCATGTATGTATGTCTGTCTGTCTGTCTGTCTGTCTGTCTGTCTGTCTGTCTGTCTGTCTGTCTGTATGTATGTCCATGTATGTATGTGGGCATGACATCCACGGCTGCCAACAGTCGAGCCCTGTTTGGGGGCACGTGGCAGTGCGCGTCGCGCACAGCCCGTACTCGACTTCCGTTCGCCCGTCCGTAAAAATGTGTGTGTGTATATATATATATATGTATTCTCATACGCACCTCTCCGAGGGAGTAGAGCTCGGAGGCGATTAATGCGTACGCGGGGCGCCGCGTCCGCGATCTTTCTGGCCGTTTCGCTAGGGACATCCTCGAAAGTCTGAAAATCGGTGGCACCCCTCACGCAGATCGTGACGTCAGGGTCCAAACATACATGGGAGTTTCAACATTTGAACATCAAGCCTTCAAAAACACATGGTAATGTCAATACTTGTGACCCCGATTCTCAGAGAATGGCGGTTTCGCCTGAAACACCTCCCACAATCGAGCCCCGACGTACCCTCTGGTACCCCAGACCCCGCCTCGGAGCCTCCTGGGGGCCTTCTGAAACCTCCTGGGGCCTCCTGGGGCTTTCTGAACCTTCTCGTACCCCAGACCCCGCCTTGGAGCCTCCTGGGGGTCTCCTGAAACCTCCTGGGGCCTCCTGGGGCCTCCTGCGGCCTCCTGGAGCCTCTTGGGGCCTCCTGAAGCCTCCTGGGGCCTCCTGGGGCCTCCTGAGGCCGCTTGGGGCCTCCTGGGGCCTCCTGGGGCCTCAGAACTACATGCACACACAGAGACACCAATCACGCCCAACACATCACACGCTAGACAAACATACCACACACAACACCTACAGCGCACAAAAAGCACGCACAACACAGAGCACACATCACACACACCCACACAACACTCACAATCCTGGGGCCTCCTGGAGCCTCTTCTGGTATCCACGTCGGGCCTCCTGAGGCTTCCTGGGGAGCCCTGGCACACATCGCAAGGTGTGGCAACCCCACTTGCGCTCGAGTGCGACTTCGCTGTTGCATTTCACTCCTGCTTCAAACGCCCCTTCAGTTTTCTGTATGAGCCTGGGCACACACGTGCCACTTGTATATATATATATATATATGTGTGTATATGTGTATATATATATATACATATGTGTGTGTGTGTGTGTGTGTGTCTGTTTCGGTCCATGACGGCTTCTAGAATCACCGTCTGCAATGCTTCCTGGGCCCTGATGAGTTTCGGATTTCTGCGCACGCAGTCGGGCAGGACACCTACACCACGCCCAACTGCTGCCATGCATATCCGAGTTGATGTTCCGCCGGCTGGTGGGCCACTGCGGTCAGCGCACCTCGATCATCTACTGCGCGGACCGCGCGCACATAGTGAAGTGAGTTTGGCTCTCGCCTTGGCCGTTCCCCCCATGCTGGCGCCCCTGAGAGCGCATCAACCTTGCTGGCACGCTGCACGAATTGACGAGAGAGGTGTGAATCTAAGACATTCGACCTTCGACCCCAACCCAGAGCTGCGTTTCCTGAAATCTGGCTTCCTGGATTCAGCTGAATGGGAAGTGAGAGGGAACGAGAGTGAGAGAGAAAGAGAGAGCGACAGAGAGAGACAGAGAGAGACAGAGAGAGAGAGAGTGAGAAACCCCGTTCCGCCCTCTCCTCCCTCCCCCCCCCACACTCACCCTTCCTCCGCATGCCCTAAGGTGAAACAGCAGAAGGCGGCGGTGGGGGAAATGTACGTATGAGGGGGAAGAGGGGGGGATGATGAGCAGGGGAAGTGGGGAGAACGAGGACTAGTGTTATGGTGAGGAGGGGGAGGGGGAGGAGGAGGAGGAGGAGGAGGAGGAGGAGGAGGAGGAGGAGGAAACGGAGGAAGAGAAGGAGGAGGAGGAGGGGACAAATGAAACATATGATGGGGACGGTGTAGGGGACAATATGCAGCCAACCCGCATAGCAAGGACGGACCATTGTCCCAAGGGTACCCTCGCATCCTTGCCCCTTCAGTCCATCCTTGGCCGCTTTCGTTGGCCGCGCCCCGCTCGAAAAGCTCCGAGATTTCCTTCCGAGGCCCTTGCATCCTTATCGTGCATCCTTACGGTACGGGTCGATTGTACAAGGAGGAAGAGCAGGAAGGGGAACGATATGAGGAGGATGTGGCAAAACAGGAGGCGGAGGCGGAGGATATTGCTAACAAGGAGAGGAGGGGGGAACAGATGAGGAAAAGGGGGGATGATGAAAAGAAGAGGGGGGGAAGGAAGACAAGGGGTGCAGAGAAGAGAAGGATGGAGGCGAAATCTGAGGAAGTTGGACCATCAGAGGGAGGGTGGAGAAACAGGGTGAGGCAGGACGGCGCGGCGAACCGCGCGGCCGCGAAGGGACCCCACAAACCCAGACAAACAAATAACACACAAACACACACGCGCGCCAGGAAAACTCGATGGCGACCACAACGGCGGCGGCGCAACGGCGGCGGCGGCGCGACGGCGACGGTGACGGCGACGACCACTCCGGCGGTGGCGACAAAGACGGCAGCGACTACAGCTCGAACGTCAGAGAAGAAACCTGCCTGCCAGCAGGTTCCCCGCGCCAGGGTTTTTATTTCCCGATGTCCGTGGGCACTTCATTACCTTCAAAGATCGACGAAGCATGTGCCACCCAGCTTTCTTATAACAAGATGTCGTATCGTCTGTGCCCACAGAGCCCACAGTACGACGACGGCGGCGGCGAATACGGCTACGACTACATTCGGAGGCAAATGTAGCGGGGACAGGCCAGGAGGGGGATGCATCACCCCCCGCTCGCCCATCCATCGCCTATAGAGGGGGCCGATGCCCCCACCCTGCCCAGGAACGCGCGGAGTCGCTATCAGGGGCCTGTCGCCACCCTTTATCGGCGATGCACCGCCGATTCCAGCTCGATGCTCCCCGCCTGAGCAGGTCCCCCCCTTGTCGTTGCCCCTCGTGCGTGCCACGCCGGCGACGGCGACGAACGCGGCGACGGCGGCGGCGGCAGAGACGACCACGACCGCGCCGCACCTGCGGCCCGCGAG